TATGAGTGTGCGTCTCAGTGAGTAGTTGCACTAAAGCTGATATGTGGAGGCAAATGTCATGTATAAAATAAGTGATAACACATTTTAGTTTGCTTATGGTCTGGAACTCTATCCACTCTGTCATGTTTCTGATCTAAACAAATCAGGTTCCAATTCCTAAGTACTGAATAGGAAATGTCTCCGTCTATGCGTTTCATCAAGTCTTGATTTCAAATAGTTCAGCTGGAAGAACACTAGCTAGCTGATACGTGGCCCATATATGATGGTGGGAACAGAAAAGCCGAAACTTTAATTTTTCAGATGATTCAAAATACTGAATACCATTTGTACATCCTGTGACGCTTCAAGTTAATTGCTGCATCCTGGTCAAATTCCAGCTTTTGTAACAGCATTCTATTTCCTTATGTAGACCTTGTGACTTTTAACTATAGTATCCTACACTTCCTGATTTGTCTGAACCGTTTGCTGTTGCTGGATGCTATTAAAACTATAAAAATATTCTCTAGGTAGTTGATAAGTCCAGTTCACTGCTAACTATGAAAAATCCTGTCCTGGAGATCTTAAGGAAAACATTACATAGGGAACATTTCAAAGCAGCCAAAGATGCTAGTTTGACACTCCAATTTTGTTGCAGATTTGTAAGAGAAAATTATTCAAATTCCATTTCCTCCATGGTGCGTCAGAATGTGTTGGTAACAATGTAGGTAGAGTTCAGCCCCTTCTGTTTAAAAAAAAAAAAAAAAAAAAGATGTTTATTTCTTATGTTTTATGTTCTTGAATCATTTAAAGGAAAATATCTAGTTGGTCTGAAATTTCTTATGGTTGTGAATTTGTGTCAAAAATTTGGTATTTCTTGGAGCTTTTCTGATGTTACAGGAATATGACATTTCTGTTCTCATACACAGGTACAATCTCGCTCATACTTTTTTGCAGTCATCTCAAGCATAATTTCATACCTTGCCATAATTAAGCCTCTGTGCCTTTGACATGTTTAAAAAAAATTGATACAGAAATATTGTAATGTGGTGTTTAAAATACTATATAAAGCATTTGTCAGTGTTTTCTGGTGTGTGATGTTACATGTTAACAAGAAAGCATTGACAAAAAATACTTCATATAGACCAATAATTATATCCAAAGTAAAAGTTAATATGGACTATATATGAATGTGTACAGATTTGAACTAAGCAGTTCCCACTACATGACATGCTTATTTGAACATGTAATGTTAATGTGACACGTGAGACTATTCAAGTAAACATAATGGTTTTATATAAAAAGTTACACATTCAAATGTGTATCACTTTCTGAACAATTCTCGTGGGTTCTGTAGACAAAATGGACCTTTCATACTTGTACACAAGTGATTTTTTTTCTTAATGGAATGTAAACCTTCTAGATACCTGGCCCTAACCTTTCACTCTCTTAAAAAGAATCAGTTTATGTAGAAGGTTAGCAGTGATGCAACTGACTGTACAGCAACACTGAATCCCCACTTGCATCTTGTCTATAATATGCTCAGCCACCAGTGTCACTGCTGGTATCTGATATGTTTCTCAATCCTTGTTAGTGTTTAAGCTATTTTAATGAATTAAAAAAACAACAACTTTGTTTATAGGTGCAATTACAGTTTCCCCTGAAAAATGAATGTCTCTAAATTCCAAGCAGAACTTTTTAAAAGCAGTACCCTACAAACACAAGGATTCTGTGGGATCCTAAATCTGTAGATACTGTTGAGATGGCACATACTACTCATACTACTCTCTGTTGTGGCGAGGCTCCAAACTGATCTAATTTGAGTTTGATTCACCCTTATTGTCATTTATGGTTAATGCAGTACCCCCCGAAGTCCCTCATTCTCTGGAGTTTGGGTAAAGCATACAGTAGAGGAATTGAAAGGATATAACGCATTTCTCAAGCTCATGGGGAAAGCAGCATGAATAGGTTTTGAAAATGTCACTAGAGGGCAGGTAAGCAGATCATCACCTGCTGCTGACTTAATTTGCTTTTCACTAAGAGATCAAGGTGGTGATGAAGCCCCATGCTGCTTGTGGCTCCTCTAAAAATAAACTTTTGGAGTCTGCCAAGGTTCCCATTTCTGGGGATGCTGTTCTGGCTAGCCATCTTAGTCCTTCGTTGTCATTGAATTCAAGCACTGTCATTCCATTTAAATGGTGCTTTAACTGTTTTCATGGTGGCTTTTCTGACAGTAGAACTGTCTGAACTCTTGTGAATTGCAGACTGAATCAGAGCTCTGAACATTCTGTTCCTGCGTGTTTTCAGAGAGCATCTGCAGATTTCAGACTCCAACAAGCAGCAAGTGTGGAGTTTGTCATCAGCCACATTTTTCATTCTATGCAGTAGTGAATCTGGCCCTTGGACTCCCACGTGCTTATATCAGTCGCATAAATTTGGTCTGCTACGTCTCTGTAAGTGTCCAAGACGTAAGTGTCAAGCTGAGGCACTAGCATAATAGGAGAATAGCACCAAAAAAGTGTATAGGTTAAGTAGGGTTTGGTGTACTTTACATGTCAAGAAACAGTAAACTATAGTTGACTCTCTTTAGTTTGCTAGAGAGAAAGATTGCGGAGTAAATCTGTTACTGGCAAAACCAATCCAGTTCATTTCACTCGTGAAAATGCAATAACTCCAGGTGTGGCCAGGCTTCTATCAGTGTGTTAAGTTCTGTGTCAGTTGAACCCCCTTACCAATCAACTTAATTGAGAAGGTACCCTAAACACCAACAGTCTGTCCACACAAAAGTTCCCAATGTTGATTCTGTCCATGGAACTTGAACTAGCCTTAACAAATATGGGAAGTTTGATGCTCAGTTTGGAAAGTTCACACAAAGTTAGTGTGTGTTGGAATCAAGCCTCACACAGCCACTTTGCATAAAGTTTGCCAGCCTTAGTACAGTAACTCTACCCAAGTAGCAGGGTTCATAGGGACTTATGCTGTTTTGGGGATCCTTACGAATTTTGTTTGGGCTGTTACATTCTTAAATGTTTAATTAAAAATCAGATTGCTAGAGGTAGGTCAGAGAGAGAATGTGTGTGTGTTTGTTTTTTATGTCGCTGATCCAGCTATCCTCTCACCGCACCTTCTGTTTTTAGGCTTTGAACAAGCTTCTCTTTTATCATTGAAGTCCAGATACAAATTACAGAGTCCTGCAAAACCGAAAATACTACTTAGGCACCGCCTAAAGAACAGTTGAGAATATTTTAGGATGTGGACAGGCTTGTTTAATGGGTCTTCAGTTGTATATGACTCATTTGGAAAAGTACCCTGTAATCCTCTGTTCTGTGGCAGAACTGAGATCTAAAGTTAGTCTTTAACACCAGGCTATTCTCTAGCTGTGGGCAAATTATTTAACCAGAAAGAGCCCTAAGTGCAGCACTTTTCCCTTGTCCTTAGTGTATTTTTGTCCCTGTGGTCTCTAATTCTCCTGTGCATTTGTCAATGAGAAATGTTTTACTGTCATTTTAGAGAGAAGTTTGAACAGAAAAAGAAATCGGTTTAATCCCAAGAGAGAAATACAGTATGTCCAGTGAATCTCAGTGACTTCTGCCTTTCATGTTTGGCTACCTTTTATAGGGAATGTGTGTGGTGGTAGTCCTAGTAAATAATATATGAAAAAAAAACAAACATGTAGCTCCTGTTTGTGGCCTCAGAGATGACACCAATGCCAGTATCTCATGCAGTACAGCACCAAAAGTCACATCTATGTTCTTGATAAGGAAGAGCTCAAGTAAATATATCTTCTTATCCAAATTGGCTCTTTTTTTTTTTTTTCTTAGGAAAGCTTTTGCATGTCTGATCTAGTCTATAATGTGCAAATGTACACTGCCTTTCCATTTTCCCATCTTCCAGGCTAGTAGCAAGGCTAAAGTTTCTTTTCTCTGTGCAACCTCAGGTGATAAATATTTACTGTATCCTTTAACTTTTTTGGATAGTACAGCCCAGGGGAAATGAGCAGCCTTGACTGGAGCAGCCTAGATAAAAAAACACAGCTGGGAGACAGCTCTTTCAAGACTTTAGCACTGAGGTGCAGTGATGGATTTAAGGGCATGTACTCAATCCTCTCAGCTGCTAATAAACTTACTAACCTTCCATTTTAAAAAAACAACCACCTAAACATAGGTGAGCAGAAGGAGATGCAGCACTAGTAAGAAACAGGGTGAGATTTTGGAAGGCTAGTGAGCAGATTTTGTGGTGTGCTGCTTTGCCGGAGTGAAAGCACTAGTTCCTGCATGCCAGGACGTGCTAGTGGGGTGTGTGTGTGTGTGTGTGTAGCTGTGTCACTCACACCGAGTGGCCGAGTTGCACAGTCATACATTGTATGGGTGCCTGTGTGATGCACTGTGTGCGTGGCTGTCACTCGTACAGTGTGTGTGTGTGGGGGGGGGTTGTCACCCTCAGACACTAGCTGTCACTACTGAGTAGCTAAGATGTATGCTATCATTCTCTGTGTGCGTGTGCCTGTGAGCCTTGCACTGTGTGTGTGTGTGTGTGTGTGTGTGGGGAGGGTGTCACACTCGGACAACGTAGCTGTGGCACTGTCACACTGAGTGGCTGAGCTGTATGCTGTCACACCTGTGTTTGTGTCTGTGAGATACACGGGTGTGAGCCACACAATGCGTGTGTCCTTTCCCAAGCGCACGCGGGCAGGCTCCCTAGCCCCGAGCAAAGCCTTGTCTGTGGGGGGTGGCGGGCCGGGAGCCCCCCCTCCGGCTTGCGGGGGGGGAGGTTGCTCTCTTCTCCGCTGCGGTCTCCGGTTCCCCTTGATCTGCGCCGGCGCCGCTGCTATTGGCTGCCGGGCGCTGACGTGCGGGGACTGCAGTTGTCCCGGGGAGCCGCGCCGGCTCCGCTCCCGGCTCTTTAAAGGGCCCCGGATCCG